CGTAAATAAACAATTAAAAAATCATTTAAAAAGTCCAACGCGTATTATTTTTATTTTTTATTTTTTAAATTGTTTTGGTCCCTTGGGTGGCATTAAAAGTCCAGGTTTGATTGTATGTGACCAAATTATATAAAAGTCTGATTTGTTACAAATAATAATAATAATAATAAATTAGGAAATTATCCACAATAAAGGATTTTAATTATTCTTAAAAAATGAATTTTATTATACCTAGTTTTTAACCGCTTTACTCTTTTAACATGTTTGTAGTAACAAATTTAGGAAGTTAAAATTAAAAAAGTTTGATGGTTATAGTAAAATACATATACCCTAGAATTATAAATATTATTTATAAAGAAAGAGTTTGAAACTGATGGAGCCATAGTTGACTTTATATTGAAGAAGGAATTAAAAAAAAAAAAAAAAAAAACAGCATGAGTTAATCATACTAAATTATTAGATCTATATATTATGATTTTATAGACAAATTACATGGCATAATTGTTTAGGGTAGAGAGGGAGAGGGGAAGAGAGTATTAAAAAAAAAAAAAAGGGCACACAAAAATAATTGAAAGAACAGCATTATTTTGCCTCACCATGCTTTTATCTTGTTTGTATTGGACATAAAATTATTATATGTCACTATTATAGTTCAGCTTTTAATTCTACTTTTAGTTTTTAGAAATGTTTTAAAACACTCTTGGAAATATAAATGAATTACAATGGTAGATGAAAAATCTAATTTATGATGGTGATTTAAAAGGAGGGTGGTGAGTAGAATGCCTTTTTGGATTAAGTTCCGAAGATCTGCCCTAAATATATCAACTTTTTTTTTTATAATGAAGCTAAATTAAGTTTCCATTTCTCTATACAGAAACGAGACACATGAAAATCAATCTGATACATAAAACCCCAACTGTATCTCGGGAAAAAGAAAAAAAGAAAAAAAGAAAGTTGCTCCAACAAGAACAACTTCAACTTTGTTAGAGAAAGAGAAATTAACAAAAAAAAAAAAAAAGAGCATTATTTAGAATAAAACTACATCTAAAGCCACAAGGCCCCGGCTTCCTTGAGAAGAGGGACCAAAGTTCCATTGATGTGAGAAGCCATAACTCTGTCCATAGAGCCCACCAGCTTTCCGCCAATAAAGACGACCGGCACCGGCGGTGCGGTGGGTCCGACGAGCCTCATCAAAGCCCTTTCAATTTCTTTTCCTCTGGGGTCGTGGTCGAGCTCGTACACGGTTGGGCTCACTCCCATACCGCACAGCAGGCGCTTGAGGGCGTGGCACATGCAGCAGCTGCTGACGCTGAATATCACCACCGCGCTCTCCGCCGCAAGCCGGAGTACACGGTCCACTGGGTCTCTGGCTGCAGTGGGCGGCATGTAGTATTCCCATGAACGCTCTGCCTGGTAATGCATCATTTTTTGTTTTTGTTTTTTGTTTGTAGTTTTGCGTGCGTGTGGCGAGTGAGGAAAAGGGAATTTTTGAGATTTGGAAATGGTGGTTGGGGGATGTGGGGTTTATATAGGGGAGATTGGAAAGGATGCACTTGGTTGTTTTGTTGGAGAAATATATGTTTTATTGTGGAAGGAATGGGTTAGAAATAAGTTAAAAAAGAATAGGAAACTGATGGGGGGCGGGGGGGCAAGGGTAGTAATAAAGAAGAATTTGTCTGTTGTTGTCGCGAGGCGTGGGAGGGAGCTGTTCCTCATGTTTTGCTTTCAAAAAATGACTGACTCTGTACTCTCTCTCTCTCTCTCTCTTTTTGTTTTTTTTTCTTTTTAAATTTTCTGGGAAAATTTAGAATAGGGTGTCAGAATTGAAGGCGGCTGAGGGGATTCAGTTGTCTACACTACAGAATACAGAAGAACAAAAGAAACTAAAAAAGAGAAAAAAGAAATGTAATAGACGGCTGTGTGTGTCCTTGTTGTCGGCTTCTTTTGTGCATTCATGCAGAAAAAGAAAAGAAGAGGCTTTTATTAGAGCAACAGAACCAGAAGATGAAGATGAAGATGAAGATGAAGATGAAGATGAATCTCCCCTTCTTCTAACATTTCCTCTTTTGTCTTCAATATCTTACGGTGTTTCAGATTGTTGTTACATCTAATCTAACAATTTCCTTCTCGCCCACTTACTTGTTTATTCTTTATAATCATATTTCTTCAACTTAAGAAAAGAACCATGACATTGTATGGAGGTTGAAAAATAATGGGAAAAGAAAAAAAGGAATGTAATAATAGAATAGAATAGAACAGAACATAATTTAAATGAACATTCGGAATTCATATAATTGATAGCATAATTGTGGAATAGCAACTCCAATTAATTCAACTCAATCTCATATTGTGTATTTACATGAAGAGAAAGAGAGAGAGGAGGTTTGTAGGGAAGCGCCGAATACCGGCGCAGGAAGAGGAAGCCCTAATCAAACCCTATACTATATACTATACTATACTCTCCCCCCCACACTTGCACTCTTTTTAAAATACCTTTCAACCATCATGCTTTAGAGTTTAATTTCCAAATATATTTTAATTAATTTTAATGCTGCTGCTTTCTCCTTTTTTGTTCCCGTCTCACCATTATACACTTTCTTTTTTCTTTCCTATAATTTTGATGTCATTTATCTATGCATCATTTCACATCACACAAAATTGCTACGCATCAAATTTTGGTTTAACTCTATTTTTACTTGCCTTATACTTTTTTCTTTCTTTCTTTCTTTTTTTTTTGTAACACAATTTTAAATATAGAAGCATTTAATTAAAAATTACTTTTTTATTGTTCTTTTGAGAGAAATAATCATATTAAACTTATCTAGAGAGAAAAAAGTCCATCTTCCATGGGAGCCTTCAAACTCCTTAAAAGCAAAAATGTCACTTCTTCATTTATTTAGATGGTGTTTAATTTATTTAGAACTTATGTTAGTCTTCTTATAACTATGACTTAAACTCAAGATCAATGGAAGCATCTTCTTATAACTATGACTTAAACTCAAGATCAATGGAAGCATCTTCTTATAACTATGACTTAAACTCAAGATCAATGGAAGCATCTTGAAAAGAAAAGATTTATCAAAGTTTGGGAGGAGGATCGTTTGACTCAATCAACCAAAACAAAGTTATCTATTTGGAAGGACTCTTGTGTAATATTTAATCTTTTTTTTTCAATTTAATATATTAAATACTCACTTCAACCTTTTTCAAATAAAAAAATAAAAAATAAAAAAAATTCTACCATGGCCTTTTTAGTAAACAGTTTTAGTTATGTAAAAATAAATAAATAAATAAATAAATAAATAGTTGGGAGTTATACTAACATGAGCATTGTAGGGCATAAAGCTTGGGCTTTTGGTTTCCTTCAAAACATGAGGACGGTTCCATTTTCCATTTGCATCACGTTCATTCATGTACACTCTAATAACAATATTTTTGGTTATGGTATGAAAACCAAAACCAGAACCAAAAAGTGAGGGCAGAGGTAAACTCAACCCAAAATGAAACTCACTTACCCGTCAACACTACACGAGACTTGCCCAAGGAAACATACCACTGGAAAGGGAAGAGGAAGAAGAAGACGAATAGTAAACTTTATAATATCGATGGGAGTTGGGAAAGGATGGTTCTTAGAAGGTGTGGGAAAGTGGGATATTGGTGGAGATGGGAATCTTTGCGATTGTCGGTGTATTTTTCCTTTTCCTTTTCCTCTTCCTTTCCTTCGTTGTTGTTTAATTACAAATATTAACTTACAATATACCTACTTAGCTAATTTGATGTGATGGGTCACAAATAGTTAAGCCACCTGACCAATATTTTTTCATCAACATAGCATATTTAAGGTTTTTTCTATCTTTCTTAAATTGTTACTCCAAAGTTTTGAATGGTTCCATAAATTGATGCATTCTTGGTTAGAGCAATCCATTACAATAAACAGTTTCAAAGAAAGGAATTTTCAAAAATGAAAAAGGTAAGGAAAATAAGTTGTTAAAAAGGGGGAGTGAGGAGAAGAGCAAGAATGTAGGGGAAATAAATAGATCTAGCTACAAAGA